TTTAATTAAATTTCTTTCTTCTGATTAATTAAATGTTTCGAAGTATTTGTAGCGACAAGTGGACACTACCGCACACTAAATTGACAAATAAGTTTAAAATATATAAAATAATTATGAAAGTAACTATTAAATTAGTTACTTAAAGCTAGTTACTTAAAAGATGTAATTAAGTTAAGTTATAATTACAGATGGAAAGAAAGTAACGAAGTTAAGTTACTGAAAAAAAGTAACTCTAACTGTAACTTCGTTACAAGTAACGAGTTACTTACCATCCCTGGTCTTAAATACAAATAAATTTAAATTCGCTACTGTTATCTAGCGTTCGTGGAATAAGCCTTTTAAACCAACCAAGTATTTTATTCTTTAAAAAAAAAATCCTTATAATGACGGTAACTAATATAGATAATAATGCAGGATAAAAGAAATCCAAATAAGTGAAAAAAATATATGTGCCTAATATTTTTGGCTGTATATATAGTCTTTCTTTACACATATTCGAGATACACTTAATTGGAGCTAACTTTAAATATATAACAAAAATTGATTAAATAGAAAAAAGGCTCTCAAGATAATAATCTAAAAATAAAGTATAATACCTATAAGAGCTGACACAGGATGAATGTACGTAATAAATAATTTATTAATAAATTAATATAAAAATGTAGAGTAAACGTTTCAACCCCTTGTTTCGGGTCCTCTTCAGTACAAACAAAATAAAATTATCTTAAAGTACAATAAATCTAAAAAACGGAGTGGTTGCGAAAATTGTGTCCACTTTTGTGACAATAACATCAATTTGGCAAAATTAATGTCATGAAAGATTAGAGCGAGGCGACATGAGTTTCAAATGTGCATCCTGTCATTAAATTGGAAAATACAATGACAAATGAAATTGAAGGGTAGTCGTCAGTTCGGAGTATACCGATAAGAAATGGAACTATATTTAACTATACAGGGTCCGCCACTTAAATCCGGACATAAAATTTTTTCTCGAAAAAGTCGTTTATTACAGAAAATACGAAAAAGTACAAATAGACTACTTTATAGTTAGATTAAGAGATCTTTTCTGAGACATTTTACTCAATGTATCCGCCCTGCGCCTCGATCACCGCTTCAATCCTGTTCCGAAAGCGCGAGCATGCCGTCTGCAATTGCGCAGGGTCCATTTTCATGAATGCCGCTTCAATAGCGGCTTGGAGGGAGGCTACATTGGGGTGTCTGGCTTTGTTAGTTACCCTCTCGACTACGCCTCACATGTAGTAGTCGAGATGATTCAGATCGGGACTATTCGGAGGCCAGAAATCTTTCGACCAAAACATGTCGATATTGTCCGATAGCCAGTTCTGCACCAAGTGACTCGTATGAGCAGGTGCGCTGTCTTGTTGGAAGATATACGGCCTTCCTGCAGCCACGTCCTCCATCCAAGGCTTGACTGTAGTCCTCAGGATCTCCACACCTCCTTCGTCATCGTTTCCCTCTTCTTGAAAAAATCCGGCGGCATCATGTCACCCTCACTCGAGACGACGCTTAGGACGTGGATACTGACTGGAAACTTGGTCCTGGCCACCACGGGGACGTCCTCGGGGTCGTGAGCGAGCTAACGGTCATTCCTTCGATTCACCTTGGCATCCACTGTGAAGATCTTCTTGTCAGAGAAAAACTTGATGCGGCCAGCAGCTGTGTGTTTCAGTGAACACACGAGCAAATTGCAGCGGGCAAGTCTCTTGGCCTTGGCGGCCTCGGAGAGCATCTGTCGGACCTTGAGGACGTAGGATCTTGTATCTGAGGTCCTCTTGGACAATCCGACGAATGGTGGTGTCGCTCACCCCCAAGATGGCCGCTAATTTTTCGAGTGAAACTCCTGGGTCCTTCGAAATGAGGTCTTGTGCTCTTTTAACGAGTTCCGGAGACCTTATCGCCTTCTCCCTTACATGTATTTTTCTCGCCGGAGTACAAGAACCCTCCTCGGACTCCTCCGAGGCTGTGTATCTCTGGACAATATCATACACCGTTGACCTGGGGTATCCAAAGAACTTAACAATTTCGCTTGGCGTCCTTCCGGACACCTTCAATAACCGCCGCTCTTCGGTTATATTCCGACGTTTTCCTGAACAACTCGGCCATTTTGAGGTTATTAATGTCTTATCGACGTCTCTAACCTATTTTTAGGTCATGTGGCACCTACTGCTGCATTCTAATATGGTGGGAATGTCAAATTTAAATTTGTCCGGATTTAAGTGACGGACCCTGTGTATATAATAAAGAAATAATAAACAATATAATTAGAAATGTATAATTATAATAGAAGAATTAAAGACACATGATATTGTTTTCTCGACCAGTGCTATCACATAATATCGTCGAATGCACAAACAACATTTACTAAATGGATGCAAGCACCGTAAAGTATGACATCGAAGTTTGTAGAACCTTCAAAACAAGAGCATTATATCTCGTTAAAGAAACTCTATATATAACAAGTACACGATAATTTTGCTTTTATTACCGTGGTAAAGCTCTCCAGGGAGAAAATGTAGATCTTGCCGGCGCTCAAGAAACTCGGTCGTACACTCTTCATCATCACCATCACGATTAGCTTTTGCGATCTCATGGATACTTCGTACCAGGTGCTGCTGTATCTGCCACATTTCAAAGAAATTGAATGCAAAAATTAATACAAAATTCTATCCTCTTCTAGCTTTTAGGTATCTCAAGTCACTTACATCTTATCGCACGTCTGAATGCTGTGCTCTATTAGCTTCTGTCCTTCGAAACACAGACAGAATAAATGAAACAGTTGACCAAGAACGTATAACACGTATTTTATTGATATTAAAATATCACCGTTCTGCTGCGTAAGCTTTAATATGAAAAGACACAATTTAAAATTATTTGTATGCTCTCTAAATTCTTTGAAGTGAAATTCTACAGAATGAAAATCAAAGCCATCTTAAATAAAATAGTTCAATTTTTAATCTTTAAGGCCGAAATTTTACTCTTCAGAGTAAAATTCAATCTGAAAGTTTTAGAAAATATGAAGAACAATTTTATAATAAATAAATATAATACATACTTGTAGTAATGTAATACTTAATCCTATAGTTACTATGATCATTTGCGCGCCGAAAGGTATAGTGAAGATATTTTCGATATGTTCCACAAACCTATGATAAACGGAAAATAAAATAATCGTAAAAGGAATCTTCGCAAAAATAATTTTATCTTTAAATGAAGGATATTTTGTATTTTTTTTATATATGATGTTATACACTCACTTTAAAGCATCTTGATGTTTGTTTATAAAGAGTGTGATTCTTTCGCGATAAGTATCATTAGAATTGTTTGCAATTTTCATTGTTTTGTCATCTTTATTAAATAGATTTTCGAAATAGAATCTATAAACAGTTTGAACAACTCCTTTCTTTCTCTCCTTCTCTTTTTTTTTTTAGTTGATATTCCGGATAAATTGTAAAAGTATTTTGATACTAGATTGGTGCAAAAGAATTGAATCATATTTGTCAAACAAAGTCAAAAGTAAAATATTAGCAAAAATTGCCACAGATTTTATCATACTTTTTCCTTTATTTGAAGACAAATTTTTCAATTCCTTTTTTCAAAAAATTTTGATTTTATTATTTTATATGAAATATAAAATAAGTAATTTGATATACATATATGTATTTATGTATCAAATTATTTTAAGAAATTTTTTTATTTTACGTAGAAACCTTAATAAAAAATTATATTTTTTTTACGTATCAAGCTCACAAGTTTCCTTACCCGACCAAAGCAAACATGCTGCAAACATGCTCAACGAAAGTCACAAACATACAATCGTGAGCGACTATTCCGACTATAGTGATTTCCCAAGCAATGATGGAGTGCCAGAAAATTTTATAGAAATATTCCCGAAGTTCCACAAAATAGTATCCTGGATACGGGGGTATTATGGGACGAGATTCATTAAGGGGCCATACCGCGTCGAGTGCGAATGGCACAAGAGACAATGACATAAACGTAGTTACTGCTAACATGCAATATACTGCAATGTACAGAGTATAAATCATGATTTTGAACGTGTATTGGAGATACACATGTATTTAGATACACGTGAAAAAGAGATTACTAGTACAAAGAGCAATTTGCGAAAAAAAATGCATAACTTTGGAAATAAAACAGTATAGAGCATTTCTCTCGTCGCTTCTCACCCGTATACATCACACAAAATCGTCTACTGTTCTCTGCATATAATTTCATAATCTCGTATTCTTCGGAAGTTTTCAATCCCTTCCAGTCGATGAATAAGTGTTGAGTAAGGTTTTTGATCTGACAAAAAGTGGATATTATCAATTTTAAATAAAATAGAGTTTATAGAAGTCTAATAAATGTACATAAAAATTTAAAAAATATTGAAATTTTTTTTCATAAAGTGCTACTTTTAAAATCGAACATATCGAAATACTTATAATTGTTTAATTAGAATATACCGTGCGAGTGTTTAGTTGACACGTGTACACTTTTAGCAAAGAAGTAAATGTCAGTAAATACGATGTCATCGCTTCGCAAATACATTGCACATTTGTCTTGCACGTAAATTGATAAGCAAACTGAAATTATTGTCGTTTATCATTCTTGCGATAGATCCTTTCTTTCGGACATTATATCAATTTACCTGCGGAACGAGTACAGTCACCATGGTTATAGTTATAACAACAACGCGAAATATTCTTGCTCTCGGTTTCAGATACGGCCACGTACCGGTGAGCGATGATATTTTGTAGACGATATTATAGTAATGCCTCCAGGTCTCCATAATTCTTAAGATACCGCGTTTTCGCCACGTTTTCGCAAAGGCGATTAATTTCGAACTGTCGTACAGCTGATCGTTCACCCTCTGATGTCAGACACCAATTAAAATGATATCCCTTTGTACTAAAACTGCTGTACATGTAGTCGATTTTCATGAAATAACTTTGTTGCATGTCATGTCAATCAACGACTGGACATAGAATTTATGGGAACAGGTAGTATTTGATTCTTTGACATTAACAATGTAGTCCCTCAATAATGAGTGGCTCGTTTTGCATGTCCCCTCCGGAGTGAACTTATCGATGAGAATGAAATAGTATGATGATATGAGTATTCTCTATTGACAGAGATAGACTCTTAAGTAAGTGTTCGAGGCTTCCGGAAAAGATCAGGAGGGAAAGCTTTCTAGTCGCTTAGCAATATCGATAGTAAAATAAAATTTTATTACTTTTGTTTCGTTACATAATAGCAAGCGTAAACATTATTTTATTCGATTTATTATTTGTAATAGTATACTCTTGTGGGATTTATATAATATATCATATATTATATATAACATTTCAGGGATATTTTACTACATGCTGCCATAATGACTGGATATCGATCACGACACGTCAAAGGACAACAGTAACGTAAAGTACGACATCGAGTTTATACTTTGGAATGTTGAAAAAGTATTTTTTCAGTATCAAGTTATTAATATATATTGAAGAAAGCTTGACATTTAATGTACGTTATGTACTTTAATTAGAGACAAACAAAATGCATTTGTTTATTTAAAAATGTTTGGCAATTTTGTTTAACATATTACATTTTACTGACTGGCAAATTATTATTTTTTTGCAAGACGCGTGGTTTCCATATGGCTTTTTTCTCGTTTTTTGAAAATTATAAATTTTAGTTAAAAAACGTACTTTGAAAGTCTGTTTCTTAAATTTTGTCACATTCTTTAATATAATTGTTTTATACATTTAGATTCAGTAAGGAACTAAAGGCAAGATCAATCATATTAACGAATTTTGCAACAGTTGCAAAGTTGCTTTCTCCGCTGAATACAGCAAATGAGAGAAATATATGCTATAATCGTTACACACTCACTGCAAAGCCTTTCGATGAGCAGAAATCGACATTACGACGTTTTTGTGATACATAGCATCCAGATAATTAATCATATTTTTTTCGATAGCACTACGTTTATGTGACACGTGCTCAAATCTAAATTTGGAAGTTTTTACGCAAAACATTGTTATGAGAGTTTTTGCAAATTATTTTCTATCTCTTCCAAGCGAATACACAAGAGAGCTAGAAACTATTATTATATTATATTTACTTTTAGATATAGAGAATTTTGTTTTTTAACTATAAGAGAAATGTGATCCCGCTTTCAGAAAAATAATAATTATCTAACAACAGTGAAAAGGCCGCAGATGTGTTCGACGTAAACAAAGAACATGCTATCGTGCGCGATTAATCCGGTCATATACACGCTGCCGACAAATAATATATAGAGAAAAATATACTAGAAATATTGATTTTTGTCAACGAAATTGGATACGATAACATTATAGGATGAGAAGTATTCAATGGAAATACTATATCCAAGACGCATGGCACGAGAGAGGTTGTCGCAAATATAATGTTAGACACGTAAATAAATGTTGCAACAAGGACAAAATTTGTAAAAACGAACGTCTATTAAAATTATTTTTATAAGTAATTATAAGGTTCCGTATGTATAAAACAATATGACAATTAAAAGGGCATAGAACCAATATTTAAACAAAACGTATTTAATTAAATCAAATTAACATCTATAGATACAAACGTTTCGACTCCAATCGGGTCATTTTCAATGTTACAAATTTTGTCATGAATCTTAATTACCGTTATAATCTCTTAAATAGAAATAAATATGATTAAATAAGACATTACATAAAATCGCACGCGTAATCTTATCGTTGACATAAAAGCGCAAGTTGTATTATAACGGTAATTAAGATTCATGACAAAATTTGTAACATTGAAAATGATCCGATTGGAGTCGAAACGTTTGTATCTATAGATGTTAATTTGATTTAATTAAATACGTTTTGTTTAAATATTGGTTCTATGCCCTTTTAATTGTCATATTGTTTTATACATACGGAACCTTATAATTACTTATTT